GCCGGCGCCGTCAGCGCTATGTCGGCTGCTTTTTGGTTATAAGAACAGGAAAAGCAAACTCACTAAGCAGGAAATAAATATATGCGTCCCTGTGGAAGCTCGGCTGGATCGCCACTTCTGAACGCAAGGGCGGGGAAACGCAAAAACCGGGAACGGATCAACGATGTCCCACTCAATTGAGTTTAACTTTGCCTTAATTTGGGATGACGTACCTAGCAATGTGAAAGTGAAAGGTAACGTTTTGGTATATTTAAACACTATTTTATAAAGTTGCAAGATACAAGTTAGGACAAAAACTTGTTACCCTGTGTTCCACATTAGTGAAATGTATACTTATTTGTTATGGGGTTATTTTTAGAAGTTATCCTTATTTCATATTGTGCCTTATTGTCCGTTAAATTCAGAAATCTGTTTTGAGCGATTTTAATTCAAATCTTGCAGAAAGAAGGAATCATGTCTCAAACGCTTATGAAAACAAAAATATGCTGGACAATTTCTTTTAGGATTAAGCTGAAAACCATTTTTGTGTGGTATATTTTTATTTCAGTTCTCGAGTTATTGATTTATAAAAGACCAAAGGCGAATTTTGGAATTTTTGCGGTCGTTAAAGGTCGCGTATTTGGAATATTACTCGTACACTTTCTGCAAAAAAAAAAAAAAAAAATCGTTTCGCATGTTTTTTTTTTTAATTACCGTGAAATCGCCATATGTTAATAAAACGTGTGTTTGTTTCTAATTGTCTTCGTAAACAATTCAGAACCTGGCATCCTTGACAATAGGTTACCCTGGATGATAATAGGTTTTGTCACATTCAATTTTATAGCTTAGCGTTTATGCTAAATAAATTTCTTGATTTATTTTTACTTGCTGTTTTTACTTAAATGAATGGACAATGTCGTGATCCCGGCAAACGCAATACCATAAGTTTGGGTAATTTTTTTGTTTTCTTATTACCCCTTCAGTCTCGGGTTAACTATAGAGAACCACAACAGGTCTGTTTTCTTTGATTCTTTCCTTTGCAATTTTCCATCTTCAAGGAACTAAAGGAAACCGGACCTGCGCCTGAGATTGGTGCGAGGGTACGGAAGAAATACCCAAGATACTAGGACCTCTTCTAAGAGCAGACAATACTTATTAAAACTAAAATGTCTGGACTACAATACCGAAAGCCGACAATAGAGAAAAGCAGCAACCAAAAACACGTTGCCGTCTGTGCCACCGGGGGAGCGGCGCAAGTTTCCAGTTGTTGCTAGGCCTCACCACGCAGAGACGTCTAATCACTGGTGCGATTGCCCCACAAAAATATTACCCCTACACACAGCTTGCCTTAGTTTCAGGTGTTCAAGTTCATACCACGTGAGGTCCCCTACAGCATTTCAACATACTTTTTTTTTTTGTCGCGAAGCTGATATTAATATTTTTTATTTATGCAATCCTCAAACGTACTCTGCTGAAACAACGTTCCCCGTTACAAGACATATTTCCCTTCCATACGCGGTGGGTCTCCGGCGACAAAGGTGCAAAGGGTATGTTGGAGATTGAAAATCCCCGTAGTGCTTAGCATCTTTGGTGTAGTTTGAGGTCACTGCTGCTACCAATCTTTTTATCTCTTATACATGAGCGATTCCTGGTATTTCACGAAACACGCTGGCCGTTGTTTTAGTGTAAAAATATTCGCTTGGATTGGAAATAAGATAAGCACTGTGGGCATCCTGGGGATCCAAAGCGTTTGCCTATTTTGCTCGTCTGCCAAATCGTCAGTGGTCATTTCCACCGCGAGGGGGCCAATGGAAATTGGCCACGCGAGCGGCGCTTCGCCGCGGATAAAAGGCCGTCGTGGCCTGTGCGCAGGGGCTCTTGGAATCGCGACAGGGACGATAATGGAATAAATGTCAGCGTGTTGTTGAACCATCGCGTTGTGTCATTCTCCAAGACGGGTAGCAGCAAGGGCTACCCATCTTGGAGAGTGACACAACGCAATGGTTCAACAATACGCTGTGCTACCCGTCTTGGGGAATGACACGCTCTATGCCAGAAACCCCTGGACTTCTGCAGGTTCATTGAAGCACCGGTAGTTCGACAAAAGTTGTGTGTCAGTGCCAAGGCGTGACTCATGCTTTTCTTGTCTACGACGAAAAACGCTACATTGTCTGCATAAAGGGCCGCCCACACTAGCGAGAAAACGCGCGTGGCACGCCGATCGCGGCAAGTAACAAAATGTCGCCGAAGCACAGTCAGCGCCACGAGCGCGTGCAGACACACGCCCTTTATCTTGCCGCTTAACCGATTTATCGGCGCGCCGGGCGCGTTTTCTCGCTAGTGTGGGCGGCCCTTAAGCCAGGCTCTGGTTTCCGTGCTCTCCTAAGTGTAACCCAGGACATTCAGACTCTTGATCATGCTTTGACAAAGTGGCTTTAGGTATGAAGTAGAAAGTAACGGGGACATCCTTGCTGTAGAGAAGACTTGACGGGGACATTTCCACTCACTCCATTCTTCAGCACCAGGCTCGTGTAGCAGTTTCTATACGCAATTTTAACACCCTGCGATCATATTATCGTCGAGGACCCGATCGAACGCTGTTTTAAAAATCGATTTGATGCATTGTGACGACTATTTTCGCTGAATGTACGCTCCAATATTCTTCTGGCCGAATGAACATTGTTCTGGATTACCCAGAACTTTATCCCACAGGTTTGATGTTTCCCGACGAGTTAGCAAATAACAGTTCGTAGTTTGTTTGGAAAATTTTTTAAGGTCTACATTACACGATGTAATTGGGCGATAACCATTCACCTTACGCAGTTTGCAGTTACCGGTTCATTCGTACTTAATAGAGCGCGCGCCTTCATAAACGATGGCGGCAGGGCATTTGACCTGTACGCTTCTCGGAAAATCTCTAGTAATACAATAGAAACTGCATTCTTGTGAACCTTGTAAAATTCAGAAAAGATCTTCGGTACCATTTGTGCTTGCAGGGTTACTCAGCAACACTGGATAGTATTCCAGAAAGACGCGCTCTATTCCCTCTTCGTCAGCGACTATTCTACTGCGGTTCTATTTTCTATAAATTCTTTTGTCAGCGAATATCGCTTTTCATCCTCCAAAGCCTGTTTTGTAGGCTGCTCTACCAGGAGGAACTTTTCTCTGCGAGAACGTACCACTGCATTTTCATAACGACCCTGATAAAGGCTGTCTTATTTATCTTTACGTTCATTATGTCCTTAGTTCCTTGGCGGGGTTTATTTTATACGAACTCAAGTTTGTATAAAAGATGCAAACAATATTGGCGTTTTTTCTCTGGTTGGTGCTCATAAAAGTTGAGGGTGCTTGCCCCCTCGACTGCAAGCTGCTTTACGTCCTGTTTAAAGCTCTCGTATTTTACAAAGACAAGGTCTTTTTTTTGGCCCCGTATTCAAGTAATTTACGCTTCTCTGCCACAACGTCCTTTAGACGCTGGGCATTTAGTTTCCACAGCCTCCAATCATTGCGTTTTTTTTTCTTTTTCTGCCTCTGTCCAATCGTTAAAATGACACTGCAGTGATCCGTAAAAAACACGGTTTCCACTGAGGAGGCACTAAGCAAGTGTAGAAGGTCACTAGAACGTTATAACCTCTCCAGGCGGACATGCGACCCACGTTTAAAGCGTGTAGATTTAATATATCTGGCTCCGGGTTGAAATTGTGCAACGTCAATCAAGTCACCCTCTTCAACTACCTCGAGTAACAAGCGTTCACTTTTATCTAACTGGGGCCTAGTAGGCGTTCTATAATTTAATTCGCAAACATAATTAAAGTGTCCAAGGAGCGCCACCAGCCTATACTGGCGCAAATGATTAGAAAAATAAACGCGCCAATTTACATCATTTGCAGCATATATGCAAAGCACCTATAAGGGCAGCTTACTCGCTTGCTTCCAGATGTCGATGTTCATACCGCATCCTCTAGAGCTAAACCAATCACGTAAAGCTGAAACCTCATGAGGATTGAGGAGCATTCGCGGTGCGTGATTTGATTTAGTCGGGAAATGCAGACGCCGAAAATCAACCAGAGCCGTGACGACGCACTTTCAGTGCTGCCTGGTTGGCTCAATTGGACCGGAGCACTGGCTGCGGTTGGAGTTCAGAATAACATAAAGTATTAAAAAAAAAAAAAAAACCGCCCTTTAATATAGGTATATTTAAGGGCGAACTGTAAAGGCTAGGGTTCCAGGACCCAATAAGAGCGTCGGAGCGACGCTCGTGACCTGACGAAACGGGAGCATTTGTGCCACCACACCAAATTCGAGGCGCGTGACCTGGAGGAACCGGCTGTCGGCTGCTAGCTAAGAGTCGTCTGCTCCGAAACCAACCACCTTCCGATGAACGTCCACCGCAGCACCATATCCGTCCGCTAGAACAGCGAGCACTTCGGGAGCAGCTCATGAAACGACCATATGCTAAATTCAGCCACGAATCTGTGACGGATGCTAATGCCAGGGCACAGTGTGTTTTTGTGAGCGGAAACGGCCGATTACACTGCTGCGATCGCCGGCAATCGCCAACGGCCACGGCGCGACAAGGTAAAACAAATCGAGCGGATATGGATGTAGCGACCCTTTTTAAATTTAAATAAAATTAAAACGCATATGTTTTTAATTGTATATTTTTTATTCTTTATATCTTCTCGTTATAGATGGAATCGCGCGAATTCAACTGCCATTAAAAAAAAAGAAGCCTAGAACTACATTTGTCGCGGACGGTTCTGTTGCTATGGCGGTAAAGAGGCCCCGGTGGCCTCGACCATGGAGTGTTATCTCGTGCCTTGCTCCGGCGCCCTTATTGGGTCGCGGGGGCCACAGCCTGCAAAATTCGGCAAGTTATCATGAAACGTAGTATAGTCATGATGAGTCAACAGCGATGAGTCAACTGTTTCATTTCCAATATTTTTTTCTACAGGTGAAAGCATCAAAATATGACGCATCCACGCCATGTTGATGCAAAAGTTCGAGTTCCGGAGGTGGACAAATGCTGGAGCGTGGCATTGATTACGTTAATCGTGATTTTTATTGCCTTAGCTCTCGAGCGATCAACCGGGCTCCTATACATAGCCTTCATGGAGGAATTTCGGGTGGACCGTCAAGCCGCCTCTTGGCCCCAGAGCCTTATGACATGCCTAAGCGGCCTCAGTGGTACGTTCGCTTAAATAGTATATATTTGAGACCGTAGCGCACAACCTGTGTTGTGGTACACAGGAACAAATTTCAGCGAAAATAAAAAAAAAACTTTGTCGTTAGATGGTCCGCACTCGGCGCATACTCCACACTTGGTAGAGGTCGGCATCTTCGTACATAACCAGCAAGAAAGGAAATGTCATTCGCGGTACACTTTGAAAAATATCTCCTCTATTTACAGGCAAAAGAGACCGTCCTTAGTGAAAAAGCCGCTTGTATGAGAAATTTTTTGTGTACAATAAACACATATGAATCATACAAGGTATACAAGAAAATATAAGATCCATAAAAGAACTATATTAAAAGTATAAAATATATATAAGAACATATAAGAACCATATAACAAACTTATAAGAAACTTCTCACAGGTTTATATTATGGTTCTTATATGCTCTTATATATCTTGTATGATTCATATATGTTTATTGGACACAAAAATCTCTCATACAAATTAGATTTTTCAATAGGGGTGCCATGCAAAACTTGTCGTTTCATTATTTTGTCAGTCAAAAACTTCGTCACGTCTTGTCCAATTGAACCATCTAGTAAACACAAATCCTTGCATAATCTGTTCGCGGAGATAGTCCACCGCGCTTTAAATCTCAACGTTTAAACGTATACAGTCCGGAAAATATGGCACATCATATCTTCCCATTAATTTTAACCCGAGCTATATTACATTTTAGGGTAACTGAAACTGTGCTACTGTACAGGCTTACTCGCACAAGCCTGTACGTAAAACGCGCCTGCACTTGTTCGACTGAAGGTGAAAGCTACATTCCATCTGAGCGAATGTTGTTTGATTGACGTCGTCCAAGTCGCAACAAACACCTAAAACAGAAAGTTGTTACCATGTTTACGGCTCGATATTTTAAATCCTACATATAACACCATCGTCAGCATCAATTCCAATAGGGAAACCATAATGTCTCGGTGGTCTTGTATTTGCATCTACCCAAAATGGGTACATAAAAAAGTACGTTTTCTTAATAATAATAATCGTCGGTTGTACCAACAATACCCTGAAACGCAATCTGTAGACTTACTGGATCAGCTCGGGAGGGTGGGATCTGTCCTCAAACAAAAAAAGGTAAAAGATATATACAGGGTGTTTTTTTTAAGCTTTACAGATTTGTTTAAAAAAAGCCGTGAATGTTACACTTATGCACTTTGTGCAGGTGAGTTATACAGCCAGGGTGACATAGTATAGAGGGCTAATGTTAACGATCTTTGGCTAATTAACTTAAACTCGTTAATTAACTTTTAGAGTAGAGAAAATACACATATGGTTCCCATTAGAAACTCAATGAGAGTCATCAAAATCCACTAAATCTACTCTTTTTAGGACGACTTGAAGCTCCTGGAAAAGTTGGGTGCGCACCAAAGTTACCATTCTTGAAGCAAGCGCAAAGCTAGCAGTGGCGGAACGCGGATGATTAGATTATCATCGCGTTCCACCACTGTTAGCATTGCGCCTGCTGCACTAGTGGTAAGGTAAAGCACGAGTGGTAACTTTGGTGCGCACCCGACTTTCCCACGAGCTTCAAGTCGTTCTAAAAAGAACTGATTTAGTGGTTTTCGATGACGCTCATTAAGTTTCCAATTGAAACCAAATGTCTATTTTCACTCATCCAAAAGTTGATTAACGAATTTTAACCATTAGCCTGACGTATCGCGAAGATTAGCCACCCACATAATGTCCCCCTGGCCGTATAACTCACCTCCACAAGCCGCATAACTGTAGCTTTCATTGCTTTTTTTTACACAAATTTGTAAATCTTAAAAAAAGCACCCTATACACACACACACACACACACATATATATATATATATATATATATATATATATATATATATATATATATATATATATATATATATATATATATATATATATATATTTATCAGTGTGTCGAACCGAAAAAATAACGGGTTCGGTTACGGTTCAGGTTCAGGTAAATTTATTTTGTTCCGGTTCAGTTCCGGTTCGATTAATTCGATCCGCGAACCGGTTCGGGGCGCTGAACCGGTTCGCGAACCGGTTCGGAAATTATAAATGACAAATTGCAACATCAAAATAAATTACAAATAAAACATCTGAAATCAGCACATACGAAACGGGATACATCGTAGTGTAAGGCTCAGGGATTTCTACCAGGAATGGTTTCTTTATGTGCACTCAAAGGTTACCTCACCGACGTTTACGCATTCGGCCTTCATCTAATTGGGTCCGACGCAGTAGCTGTAAAATCCGCGACCTCCTTACAAACCCACTTACAAGTTGAACTCGCTAACTATCCCGCCACCTCGGCGTGTAAGCAATTGAAGGAACAGTGGGGAGAAAATACAGCTTTCTTTATTTGAACTAGCCTTCGGTAACTCAAATTAGACCCTTAAAGAAGTTTTCATTAAACAAGATACGGAATATGAAAAACACTTCACCGAACGCAACGCCAGAAGGACGTAATAGGATAAATATTAAAATAGAAGAGTTCGCTGTCTCACAAAGATGTTAGCTTCTAAGTGCCTGTACAAAACCGGATGCATTATTATCAAACTCCACAGCCTTTTCTTTTCTCATTCCGATGGAAGCAAGCTTCAAGAACTCGCGCGTTCTAGAAACATGTTATGAAATGAGCACACAGCAGCTTTTAGGATTTACGAGATTGTAAAAAAATGAAACCCCGTGACGCGATTATTATTTTTTTTTTGCACAGCCTTCGAATTGTTTTTTTTTTCCGTGCAAGCCGCGACCAGCGCAATACTGGTTCCTATGTCAAGATCCATGGATGCAGCTTTTGTCAAGACTCATGGATGCAGCGTTCATATTCTTAAGACTGAGTGGAGAAGAAAAATATGTAAGCGAGGTCTGTGTCAGTTGACGGCACTTAAAAAACAAATGGCATTGATAGCACATTCATTGTCAACAACGCGTGGCCGAACCGTTTTGACATGAACCGGTAACCGTTATTTTTTTCCGGTTCAGTTCCGGTTCGGGTTCATCGCGATAACAATATAACGGTTCGGGTTCGGGTTCAGTTCCGGAAAAAAATACCGGTTCGGTTCCGGTTTTCGGTTCGGTTCGGTTCCGGTTCGACACCCTGATATATATATATATAGGGCAGGATGCCGAAGAATCTGAGGTAATGGAGTCGCACTTTCAGTGTTTTTGGTGTTTCAACGCATTTAGTGAGTCGACATTTCGGCCTGAGTCAGGCCTTCTTTAACACTGCTCGTAGAAGTCCTGGCTTTCCCGGAAACGTCAATTCAAAATCTTGTGCATGTTTCTTATATTTTAATAGTAAGCTGGTGATTCATTGTTTGTGTTTATGTTTCATTGCAAGGTCTTGCCGTGGGACTGCTTCAGAAAAGATATTCCATCAGATACATTGCAGTTGCAGGAAGTGTTGTGGGATGGATTGGCATAATAGCATCAGGATTTGCTCCAAATATTATCTGGATGTCTATCACTATGGGAGTCATTCACAGTACGTACAACGTTTGTTCTTTTCGACTGCTACAAGTTAAATAATGCTATTGCACAATATCAAATACTTGTTCCGATAAAAAATAGAATGTTGAGAATTGTTCCTTTAATAGATTGGTGTTGACCAAGGCTAAGAATTAAACTTTTACCGATAAAAATGTTCATATCTTACGAAAACGAAGATTATGCACATTGATGAAAAAGGATGTGTGTGCTAGTGTTAATTAAGAATGTTATTCAGTAACATTAAAAGGACATGCAGGTGATTGAAATTTGCTTGAAAAGCGTGTTTAGCGTTTTGGATCGAACGGGTGAAAAAAAAGTGGAGGTGACATTTACAACGATTCCGCCTTCACGGGTTCATTATAGGGTTCGGTTGTCATTAAACGGTGCTATTAAGACGGTTAGACAATGGATTGTTTTCTATTTATTAATGCGTTAGCATTTGAACGCTCGTTTTGACGAAACCCCGGTGGTGTCCTTCGATTGTCAGCGCCGGGGAGAGAGGGAGAAGTCAGGGGAGAGGGCAACGGCGCGCGACGCTCCCAATTGGTTCGAAGAGGTTACGCCAGCACGCGTTAACCTCTCCAACTCTCCCCGGCGCTGGCAAACTGACAGACACCGCTGTGTTTTCGTCAAAACGAGCCCTTTCGTTTTCGTCAAAAGCCGCGTTTACATAAATGCGACATCAGCGTATCGACTCCAATCGTCCTTCGAATGAAGCCGACGAAGGCAACGTGTACATGAATGCGCACCAAGCCCTACGCGAAGGTGGCGTCACGCTGTGTCAAAGCTCAAAGTTAAAGCTGCGTTTCCGGCGCCAGACGCACACGTGACCACGTTTTTCGGTGCATCGCACGTAAAGACCTTTCGACGTTTTCGGCGAACATTAAAATCGTGCCCGCTGTATTCGATGCTGCGCAAGAAGTTACGAGATGGAAGAAACATCCAAACCCAAGCGTTTTGGGCTCCGGACCGGGCCACCGGGCCCTTCTGGAACTGAGGCGACGTGTGTGCGCACGCTCTGTCGAGCGAGATCGTTTCCAACTCGCCTTAAGACGCCACCGCGCTCCGCCAAACCTCGTCGACCGGAAGCGGGCCAACCAGACCGAGAGATCGAAAGGCTGCGGCGCGGCCAGGAAGGGCATCGAGGTAAGAGCTACTCGTTCTGCGCTATCATGCAGTGCTCGGAGCTCTCGGCGTCGTTCGTGTTCGCGCCGAAGCCTTTAGAGAGCGCTTCGGATTCGCAAGTCCTACTTCGCAAGGCTTGGGCGAGAGCCGCCCTCACTGAGTAGCTCAGCTATATTCCGCTCACTTATGATGGCAATAAAAGCTTGCGTTTCTTGGAAGAAAACTGCGGGCGACCACACAGGACCGCTGTTCTCCGCCGCCGCCGAGGCTGGCCCCCGCCATCTTCTCAGCTGTTCACTCGATCCCGTAGCGAGCGCCTCCCCATAATCCTCCCTGTTCCAAAATGCGATGCGACCTCCGTCTACACGGAGGTCGGCTAACGGCTTGAGGGACAGCACGTTGGCTGTGTACATCGCTTTTCCAGGAACGTGTCCTATGGCGTAGTTTTACTGGAGCAGGCGCTTTCGAAATGTCTGCAGTCGTGGACTCAGCTCGTCGAGTCGCCTTGTTATCATGAGGGGAACCAGCGGATTGTGATCTGTCTCAATGTGAAACTGCAGTCCTAAGATGTACATGCGGAAGTGATCACAGGCCCATTTGATCGCGAGCGCTTCTTTCTAGATTTGAGCATAACGTTGCTCCGTCTCATGAGAGAGCGCGATGTATAGGCAATGGACAGCCGCTTGCCGTTTGTCTCTTGTAGCAAGACAGCTCCAATACCGTAAGATGATGCGTCTGCTGAGAATATATGAGCATAGACTTCTTGGGATTTTAGTGCGTCAAAGTTGGCGCTTTAGCTAGAGCTTCTTTCACTCCTTCAAAGCTTCTCTGCTGGTCGGGTCCCCGGAGTCAGGCAGCGTCGGCGCAGAGAACATCCCGCATTGGCTTCGTTGTATGTGCCAGGTGTGGCAAAAGCTTGACAAGGTGGTTTTCCATTCCCAAGGACGATCTCAGTTCCTTCACATCTGATGGTTGTGTGATCTGTATGATCGCAACGACTTTTTCCGGATCAGGCTTCACACCTTCGCCAGAACCGATGTGGCCTATAGGAACTTGACCGCCTGCTGTGGGAAGGCGCACTTGTCGATGTTAAGTGTAGTGTTATGCTGGCTTTGCTGAGTAGTTCGAAGTCCTTAACCAGGTTCGCGTCGTACTCGGCGAGTGTTTTTCCCCAGACGATAATATCGTCTTGTAGGCAAGCCTGGCCTTCCACTCCCTCAAGGACTCTATGTCGTGGTCGAAATAAGATTGATTGAAGTGCGTAGGTTTATTCTAGCATAGCAATACAGGTGTGAGTCGTGCCGTGTCTGGCCGCGTTCCGGTGGAGAGGGGGTCCGCGCGCGGAAGCATAGGGCACAGTCCAGTGTCACCCGGCGGCGGTGGCGATGACGATAATCTTCCGACAGTTCGCTTTTTTAACCATGCCACCTCTGCTCGCTTTGCTCCTCCTTTCATTTTACTATACCCTTCACCAACTCAGAGTAGACAACCGAGGCAGCCTCCTTGGCTAAACTATTTTTCCTCCTCCTGCTCTTTCTTCTACCTCCATGGAACGTCATGTCGGTAGGATGGTGACAACTAAGCGATTAGGCCTGAGCTTGACGCCGAGCGTCCCTCAACGCATTGATTGAATGCGAGACTCCTCAAAACTCTGACGTAACGTTCGGGTGCAGTTTCTTATTGTTTTCTTATTTTTGCGTTTGATCTTACTGAAGACAGCAAAATTATAATGCACGGGTTTTGATGATTCTTCGAGGTGTTGTCTGAAAGCGAACTGCCTGCTTTAGCAACTAGTCGCGAGGCACCCAACGCGGTAGGTCATTCTTCTTCCTGCCATCGTGGCGAGGAACTTCCGGGGCTCTCTTTGCTTCCGGTTTTAGAATCGGGTTGCCAAAAAAGTGCAAATTGATCGGTGAATATCCCAGAGACCTTTGCGTGTGCGCAAACCGTTTAAACGGGTTTAATTCCCAACAGGGAGTGCCTTTAAAACGCTGCACTGTGGGGAATCACAAAACATTAATTTTGTTTCCTGCGTTAAATTTGGTAGGGTGCTGGCATTATATCAAGGAGGATAATGCATTTTGATATTACATCCCTCAGGGTTTCAGTTTAAACCGTTTGTTTCACTCTAAGTCTGACCGCAGCCGATGATACAGTCCGGAGGAGGCGATCACGCAGCGACAAACGATTATTATCATGGCGTTCGTCGATTTTGGTGATTTCAGTCACCAAGCTAAACCGATCACTCACAAAAAAAAAAAAGCGCAGGATCGCAACGGATCTACTGTGCGTGATTGATTTTCTCGGTAAAAAAAATCCTTCAAAGGTGGCGAGCGGCGTGACAATGCAATCTTGGCGCCACTTGATTGACTCTCTCGGACAGTAGTGTTGGTATGCAACCTTGGAATACAAAGCAGAAACATTAACATATAATAATGTGGCAATGGAGCCGAAAAGAATACCGATTGCTGGGGCTGTGTAGCGTCTAAGGAAGTCAGTTTACTTTGCTGCTGAGTTTTCTAAATGAAGTAGCTCATTAGGAAATCTGAACCATGCCCTTGATTTATCCACTCAAAAACATATCAGCGTCTTTACGTAATAAGGCAGCGATATCTCAATCCAGACTGTAATGGGAAGATAAACAATTCTCAATACAGGCATAATTTATACCCCCCCCCCCCCCTTAAAAAGTGAAAATTATTCTTCACTTGGTTGTACAACCATAAAGTGGCATCAATCTATCAATACATCAACATTTGTTTTGTGTTTACCATCAGTTCAGAGCAAACGGCAGCAAGGGAAGCAAACAAAACAAAACTTAATTTAGCGAAAATAATAAAAGCGAGAGAGGTGTTTTCGGTATATTCCGTATGCTAGATGAATACCTACACGAAGACACCCGTTTCGAATATCACCGAAATAGTTTTCTGCAAATTAGATAATTTCAAAACGCGATACAAAAACTAACTCTAAGCGCAACTGTTTTCCAGGTATCGGGAGCGGCGCAGTCTACTTGGCGGTGAAAATATTTACAGTAATGTATTTCGAGAAGTACAGAAGCACTGCGTTAGGAATCGCTCTTGTCGGGATCACAGTCGCAGGTTTCGTTTTTCCAAAGCTGCTCTTGTATTTAAGAAGTGCCTATGGATTTTCAAATGCTCTGCTTCTTCTGGGTGCCCTTTCGATGAACTCGACTCCGCTCATCTTTTTGCTTAAGGTTCCTCCTTGGAGCAAACTTAGTGAAAGGAAAGAGTCAACGTCCTCACTTCGTCCACTCACGACTGTCTATGTTATTGAAGGCAACGTAGATCGCGAATATCCGGCAGCTGGTCAATCTTCTTTTATATCATCTCAAAATACGCGGGCGAATATTGCAATAATGTGGTCTCCCGTCTTCCATATTGTCATCTGGTCGACAGCAGCTACATTTACACTTGACCTAACGTTTCTTACGACAATCGCCGACTATTCTGAAGACAAGGGTCTTTCCCTCGATGATGCTGTTTGGATATCGTCGTGTTTTTCGTCAACCAATCTTCTGGGACGCCTGTGCCTTCCATTGCTTGCCGACAAACAATACCTTCGACGTAGCACATTGTTGACGCTTACACAGCTTTTGACTGGTGTCGTCATGGTGATAACTCCTTTTGCTGCCACGTACTGGTCCATCGCGACCATTGTCGCATTAGCATCATGTTTTGTCGCCTGTTCGCTTGTTCTGCACGAAGTGCTAATAGCTGACTACTTTGGTGTCGAGAGCTACGGATTTATTCAAGGTATCATTGGCCTCGTGAGAGCTCCTCTTCAACTTTGCAATCCTGTTCTTGCTGGTAAGTACGCTTAAGTACGGATAGAATTATTCCTTACGATTCACTGCGTATTCGTTTGTAGAAACAGTATTATGTTAAGGCACATGTCTTAAAAGTGCTATTTAGGTGTTTATATATGAGCTCTTGTCAAGTAATGCTGTGTTCGTTAAGTATCTTTCTTGCACTAGCCTAATGTACGAATTACCAAGCTTTAATTGAATGAAAATGGGGGTGGTCGGGGCCCTTTCTGTCAAAAGTCGAATTGGTTTGTGAGTTTGAGCAGTGAGTATACTCCCTTCCCCATAAAGCTGAGAAAAGAAGCTCCACCTTCAGCGCGACCACTCTGCCCTTGCTAACACAAGTGCGAAACCGAAAGCGCATGCACGCAAATTTAAAGCACTGTGGAAGCCAGCGAGCTCGCACTGAAGGTGGAGCTACTAGTCTCAGCTTAAAGGTGAAGGGTGCATGGGAAGGATCAGACTTCAAATGTACTATAAGATCCTAAAATCGAGAGCGCGAATTCGGTCAGTGCAGACGGACGGATAAACTAGCTTGAGCGCCAGTGCTGGTCCATACCGATTTTATCACCCCTTTCTTAATGAATTTGCAATATTGCTACGACTATACTGCTCCAACTCTAAATTCTACCACCACTACTATACTTATGATACCACCGATATACTACTACTACTACTACAATACTAGTGCTACCACTATTACATTAATACTAGTATTACTGCTACTATAATACTACTACTACTAGTAAAATAGCACCAGTAAACTCAAGGTAAATCATGCAGTAAGGATGACAAAAGCACGGTTATTTTTGTTTTAAAAAAATCGTAACCTGTGACGCATTCTTTCAGGAATCTTTCGTGACCGAATGGGGGCGTATGACAACTTGTATCGATTTCAAGGAGGACTCATTCTCTTTTTCGGACTGTTGTGGTGGACGATCGTGTACTGCGAAGGAAGGTGTCCGTCATTTTTTCCCAGCATGCGACCAGAGGAGACAATCAAATCAAAAGCCGTCCTTGAAATGTCAACACACTCTGGCAGGCAGATTTCACCAAACGCTGGCAATCCAAGTGACCATTCGGCTGAGTTCCGGGTAATATAGGTCGCGAATGGTGACGAAGTTACTCAAAGTGAAAAGAGATGCACTAATTAAGAAGCCCAGAACGAAGCACAATCTTAAAGAATAATATGTACACAAATTGCTCCTCAGTTTTATTTAGGTCTCTGTGTACGCAAGATCTTAACTAGATGAACTTATAATAGGATTTTAGAAAATCTGTTGTAAACATTTCGTTATAACCTTTATGAACGTAATAACACTGCTTCTAATAAAAGATTTTTTTTGGAGCACTTGTAATTGTTTCACTATTTACGAGGGCGATTAAAAAAGATCTGCATTCTGGCTCGTCCGATTTGCAAATTATTTGGGGCATCATCTATTGCCACTCGCCTATCCAACCGAATCAGTTCACGTGCACGCTCAATGCCGTCATCAGTCATGATCGCGGACGAACGTTCAGTTCCCTTTTTAACGCGAGGGCGTTAAAGAGCTCGCGTCGCAGAAGCGCCGGCGTCGGTGGCGTGACGGGAAAATCCTGGTTGGTCGATAGGGTCATGACGTCACAACCAAATGATCTTGCGTGGGAATTTCAAACAACTCACAACGCTCACGTAAAGCATGACGTGCCAATTAAAGGATGCCATATGTCTCAAATGATTTCACTTTCTAAGGTAAGTCATTTACCTTAAAGAAAACTGTTGAAGAATTAAGACGGGATTTGAACTTACGGCCCTTCGGTTACGAGCCAGTCACGCTACTGTCTAGACCTCAAAAAGGCCTTTTGTTTTGCTTTATTGTGCAAAAACACACAAAACACACCAAACACGACAAACCAGGTTAAAACACAAAGGGCCCTAACTTGGGCCCGCTGGCGGCGCTAAAACTCTGTCATGCCCATTAGCTTATCCAGCGGGCCAATCCATTCAGGCGGGGTCTCAGTTTTAAGAACATTTTTACCTGGATTACAAGCTCGATAAAGAATAAATGCGCCGATTTTGGTTGAACTTCAACGTGTCGCACAGCCAAGCGTGACCGCCATAGACTGCACAGCCCTAGCGCCATAAACATATAAGGTACGTTATCCCCGTTCTTTATAGGAAGAAACCTAATTTTGAAATGGTCAACGCATAGATCTTTCTTCAAGGTACGCTGTAAAAGATCCCCAAAAAATGCAGCGTCCCAACAGTGCACGAACACGTGTTCGATAGTTTATGCCTGTCGGCCAGTTCACGCCTCAAGGGACGTACAACCCACACTCCTGAAGCCAGACCTTCACAGGTAAAGTGGAGTTGCGCGGCCGAAAGAAAAACGGTTTAGTGTCGGCGGCACACACATTCTCTTAAAACTTAACATCTTGCCCAGGCCCTGAGACGTACTGCAAACGGTACAGTGTCAAGAAGGTCTCGCGTCAGTCTTTTACGCGTGACAGTCGCCAGATAGTCACGCGAAAATTTTACTTTCAAAAAATAATAAGAATCAACAACCTCCTTTTCGAAACCACGTAGCTTTGCCGGGGGGGCCAAACTTTGAAGTTATAACAAAATACGGAAGGGCTTCTGCTAGTCGGGTCTGTATCATAACTTGCAACAGTGGGTTAGGTTGATCCCTCAAATATAGAAAATGAGAAACAGTTTTTCGAACAAAAAGATGGCCTAGCCCTACCCCTCCTTTGGATACACAACGGAAAAGGTTATCAGGGTACTTGGGTTCACTACCCAGCAACCAAACAAACAGCGCAAAAAACTCTGTGCATATTCTAGATGCAGCTCCTCGTACACCACATGACTTGCAGGACATACCATATATTTGCAGTTAAAAATACATTGCACACAGTTGCGCGAGTAACAATTGGCAAATTGCAGTTACGCCAATGAGATGTCTTTTTCCTGAGGTCTTCCACTACACCCTCCCAATACCGTGTTGTGATCTTCATCTGTTGCAAGGGGGCGTCTAGATACTCGCACAGAATGGTGCTCCAACTGATTCTTTCAAATTGTGCTGGCGTTGTAGCCCACTCGCCGTGCCGTAATCCAGAGCATTTCTCTAGGTTAACTGCAGCCCCCGTTGCCGCACAGAACGTAGAGCACAACTTGAAAAACTTTCGTGACACTTCTCTTGTAATTAAAATTAGCGAAATATTATCCGCGTATGACAATATTTTCGTTTCAACACGACCCATAAAAAACCCGCTCACTTTCTGGCTTCGAATTAAACTTGAACAAAATGGCTCTAAATACAACAAGAACAATAAAGGAGGCAATGGACATCTCTGCCTTACAGAGGGCGACACAAGAATTGCTCAAGACCAGTTTAGTGGTGCACCCAGTGTACGCCATACGTACCCCCTCAAATAAAACTTTCCCAACATTCGCCCTTTTTAGAACTGCCAAAATAACATCATGGTGAACACGATTAAATGGCTTCTGCATACCTACACTGTTAGCAAAAATAACACGCCCACACGTGTAAACCGTTGTCCCATAGCGGACACGTCGAAACGTGTTCGATTTACACGTAGCCATGTGTATTATTCGTCTACACACGAGGTGCCGTGTAAACTAAACACGCTACACCCCGTCTGCCTTCCGTAAAACACGATTTGAGCGTGTTCCTTATGAAACCTGGCGGCCAGCAGCCGAGAACAGGCGAGAGACGAGCCCAGCGAGCCGCGCGCCTTTCAGCCGAAATGAAAGCACACGGGACGCGTTTGTTCTCGTTCGATGTCTTTTATACACAGTAAACAGTCTCCAAGCGGCGGACGTAGCTGCGTGCAAAGGTACGTACGTGCGTCGTCGGCGGTCGGCGGCGTCGGTAGCTACGACAAACGCAGCCGCCAGACAGAAAAACGAAGGCCGAACTCACATCGATAAATAACTCTAGCAAAATATTTGGAATCGGGCGGTAACTTGCGCCACCTAGCGAGATTTATAGCAGCCTATATATAAAAAAAGCGAGTATGTTTAATACGCTGCGAACCATCACAACTAGACACAACCCTACATACATCGCAGACAACACGAGTACCACGTATTACACAGCACCGACAAATACACAAAAACAACAACGACATTCCTTTCTCCCCGCGGCACATATAAGCTTGACGCTTGACATGTGCGGGTGAGCTCTTTCGTCGCTGACCGTTACAGATTTATAGAAGACAGAAAACACGGCACAATGGACAGCCGTGTGTTAGAACTATTTGCATTTAAAAAGTCTGGAGGCAAAATCTATAATGTTAGTCCGTTGGGACAAATAACGATATATTAACAATAAATTTTAAACCGGCCATGAAAAAGTTCAAATTTTTGTTATTTTCTTGCCTGACCAGTGTTATGAGCACTTCGACTAGCTTGAATAAGATAGAAAAACAAATTATTGGGATTTTATTATTACGTATACAATATTAAATGGAAATGATCCTTGCGCAAAGCATTTTTTATATATTTTTGTGAAGGACATCCCCCTAACACTTCACCTCCGCTGGTTGCAGTACGGGAGCAGACGCCTTCATTTTTGGGCGTTTTTATGCAGTTTGTTGTCGTATGTCGTGTCCCTGTCGAGTGGAGTGGTGGAGCTCGGGAGTTTGTGACCGGTGTTATTTGTGATCACTGGTGTGGCGCTGATGCATCTTTTTTTTTTTTATACTGCCACCACCACGAACATTGAAGATTAACGGGACCGTAGCACTGCATTATATTGAATCGCGAGCTCCTTCTCTGTTGACGTCGTTTTTCTGGTACCACTTGCGGATACTTCAAGCGTTTAAACAGTGCGCACCGCCGCGCCTACATCCCCGGTGACGTACTGAACCTGTTAAAACGTATTTCTTCCATCATTTTGGAGTATGCAAGGCAGTTATCTCGTTGCTCTGGTTTCGGTTATAAAAGCAAGGCAAAACGCTCGTAGTTCTTGCCCTCAGTACAGGTTGGACATCTTCCACACTTTGACACCGGATCACTGGATGAACAAGGATTTACATTTACTTCAGAGGTCACTCTCGCCGCTTCCTCACCGTTCAGCAGCAGGAGCAGCTGGCGACAAGCCGCGGATGAAAGGCTTGAGCATCAATAGCCGAAGTGCACTCGGTGCCGATGCGAGCGATGCGGGTTTCTGTCAACCGGGAGGCCAGCACAAACCGTGACCGTTCCAGCTCTTCGTCATGACACGGTGTTGCAGAGAGCAGGGTAAAATACAACTACACGGACCACCGAAGCAAACGCACTGCTATCGTAAATCTTGGCTTGTGATTGCGCCTTTGTAGATCATCTTATTCGTTTTGCTGGAGAGACGCAAACGACGGGCAAAACAAAATCGCTTGCATATTCCGCAGACCTCGCAAAAGCATTTACCCAGGTACCTTGCGAAAAGCGCGAAACACGGAGTCCACACCGTCCTAAGCTTCCCCTGTCTTTTACCTTCTTTAGAGCAGTTTGTACCTGCTAGTATATATGCCTACTGAAACAAAAACAGGGCAGTGCCAGAGAGAAAAGAGACAAAGTTGGGAAAGCTTGATCGCTCTCTCCAATTTCTCAACTCTCAAGTGACTTTACCATAATAAATGCACGAACGCCTCTTCCCAAAATAAACACAAAGCACTACGTTCACTGCCAAAAAATTGTCTCAGTTCATGCATCTGTGGTCCGGTAGGAAATCTTGCCTAATTCATTCACACCGCATGATGAGCGCAACAAACGCACGCGATTTACAGGAAAATATCGGTGATGACTTAAGTTTCCCTGAAATTTTGTGTAACCGGTTGTTTGCAGGGCCGAATCATCTCCTCGAGCGGTGTGCGTCGCTGTGCAAACACGTCGCTGTGCAAACGCAGTCCAACACGAAGCATAAAAGAGGCAGATTTAGGACAACAATCCGGAGTCCATTGTTTAATTAAAACGACAAAATTTTGTTGGAAACGCCCGAAGCTTTTTACTCACGGTATGCGTCGGGATACTTCCACATTTTGAAACGGAACGAAGGAAGATTTACTTCAAAAACGCTCGCTGCGTCCTCCCGGACCAGCTGGACCGAATCAGCTGACGACG